ATGGGGGAGACACCATTCTCACTTGTGTATGGTGCTGAAGCCTTAATCCCAGTTGAAATAGGGGAGCCAAGTACGAGATATACTCAAGTTACTGCAGAGTCTAATGAAGAAGAGATGTGGGTAAATCTGGATTTTCTTGAAGAAAGGAGGGAAACTTCCCTAATAAGAATGGCAGCGCAAAAATAAGTTATTGAGCGATATTACAATCGGAAAGCTCGTCTCAGATACTTCAAGATTGGGGACTACGTACTCAAGAAAGTTTTCCAATCCACAAGAGCAGCAAATACAGGAAAGTTAAGTTCAAATTGGGAGGGGCCTTATAAGATTCGTGGTATCGCAGGAAAGGGTGCATATGAGCTTGAAACCACGGATAACAAGATTCTACCTTCAAGTTGGAATGATATTCATCTGAAGAAGTACTATTTCTAAGGGAAGGAAATACCAACGGTCAGGTATCCCATTTACGATTTTTATTTTTGAATCAAAGTTATACTAACAATTTTAGATGATAGGCAAAAGGCTAGCCTACACCAAATGATGCAATTAGACCTGAAAGACACGCGGAAAAAAAACATAATTCCCGGTCTAGGGTTACAACTATTCTGATGGAAATGTAATGGGTTAAGCAGTCTTCATCTAAATTATACCTCCAAGTCCCGTATGTTTTTTCTTTTCAGGAAAAGGGCCACATGGAAGGAATAATCAAGTGGTCGAGATTTCATACTTCAAAGCTCAAACACTTGGGGGACTATATAATATACATATAACTTAATATATGTATAAGGAAGGCAAAAAAGGCTGAAACAATTAAATTTCAAGTAAAGCCTAAAGTCTACTCAGCAAATATCAAGTTCAGAGCAAAGTCACGAGCCAAAAACGCAAGTCCGCCTGATTCAAAAACCTGTGAAGAATACACTCGTGGATGTAAATATTCAAAATCTTATGAATGTTTAGGTTAAAGGAAGTATTTAGTCATGGGTCATAAAGAAACCCTTGGATTTTTTTTTACAAATTTGTTATAAAGAAAACAGTTACGGAAGAGTTATAGAAGATACTTAAATACATGTAAAGTATTATTCAGTTTGACAAGTTCGAATGAAATAAAACCTTTCTCAATGTTATTCCAAGAAACATGTGTGTTCCTATTTCTTCTTTCGTATGTTTACACCATTATGATATTGAGACGTCTTCTTCATTAAGTGTCATATATAAAAGGGCCCTCTTTTATAATTCATGCTTGATTTAAAAAAAAACCATGAAATTAACTATGCATTTTTTAAGTGCAAAAGTTAAAAGGGTAAAACAGAAACCCACGTATTAAAATTGAAGTGGAAAATAAAGCCTTAAATTTAAAAGGAAAAAGCAAGAGCAAACCACTAAAAGAGTAAACCAGAAACTCAAATCAAAGGCATCAAGAAAGTTGAGCACAAACTTTTTGATATCTTAATAACTTAGTTAAAACTAAGTGTGAACTTAGTCCTAACCTAATTGTCATTTTAAACCCCCGAAAAGGACTGGAGGTATGATGTTACCAAAAAAAATTACCCCTAAATGGGACCAGGGGTAAAACCACTAATTGTTCAGCAAACAAAAAAAAGCTAGTCAACTTCACAATTAAGCTTTCACTATGGAGCAGGTTCTGAACCAGTGTTCAAGATGGCATCATCGGCAGCAGAAGGTTCGACTTGATCAGAAGGAGCTGGGACATCCACTACATCAGGATTAGCTTCAACACCTTTGGGATCAGCCACGGGCGAACAAAAACTTTGGTTTTGCTGAGTCTTCTCGATAGTTTCTTTAATCTTTGTTATCTCAGCATCCAAGTTAAAACCTTCCTGGCTTACTTCCATAAGAGTGTCATGACGCGTGTTCAAAATGGCCCAACTGACTTCAATAGCAGCCTTGTCCTCAAGAGTTTTATAATCTCTCTTCTAGTGATCAATTTCATTCTTAAGCTCTTCCTTCTCGGCTAAAGCAGCATCATAAGAAGCCGGCAAAGGGGCAAGCGAAATCTCCAAAAACTTAACTCTGTCAGTAGACACTCGGAGGTCTTCTTGGGTTTGAGTGAGCATTTGACCAAGCTCACCTGCATAAACTACTTTCTCATCCAGCAAAGCTTTTAGACCTCTGATTTCTTCTGTAGCCTTAGAGAGTTGTTCAGCAAAAAATGACTCAAGAATGTGCTTGTCCTTGTCTTCCTGGTTGGAAGAGGCTTTTTCAAGTGCTAGCTCCGCTGCCATGACTTTTACTTGCTGCTCCAAGGTACATTTGTTCTCCTCTAAAACATCCATCTCAAGCTGATGACTTTCATATTGCTCTTCCCAATTATCAGCCTCAATCTGATAGTCATGCATCAACTGCTCCGTATGGGAAACCCTTTTCATCATCTCCGTACCGATGAGATTAATCTACATAAAAAGAAAAGGATGAGAACCCTAGTAAAGGGAAACTACATAAGGTAAAAAAGGAAGCTTATACCTTCAATGATGACTGCATGATGTCGTTCATCCAAGTCAAAGAACTGTGACTCTCCAGTTTTGACTTTTCCACCGAACCTATCAAGGGTTTTAGCCATACGTCAGCTTGGCCTGACTTCTTCAGAAGATTACCATCAGCAGGAACCTCAATGGTAATTTGCTTTATTGACCTGCTACCACTTGAAGAACCAATTTCATGATGAGAAGTAGTGGCAACAGGAACGGATGAAGAAGTTATAATAGCTTCGGGTTGAGCAGAAATAACAACGGTGGGAACGGGCACATGGGATTCCATTGGAACTGACATTGGAAATGAGGCAAAAGGTGTTTCCTCAGAAACCAAGTCCAAATTTTCATTGTCAAACCCACGTGAAAAGAGGTGCTCAGCAGAGTCACGGGATGTCACATGCGTCTCTTTATCAGAACTCACTAAAGTGGCTTCAACGGGTTCGGTCACAAAAATAGAATGAGGAGGAGGACTAGATTCGTCATCCGAAATGACGCATCTTCTTGCCCGCAACTTACGCACTAAAGAGCATCCATCTCGCTCCTCTTCATCTTCAGATTCTTGTGGTCTATCAGCCTTTCTTTTCGATGAAGAACTCAAGATTATCTCTTGAGCTCTTGCCAAGGAAAGTCTAGAAGCTGCGACTGACTCAACACTCGCTCCTCGAATAGGAAACCCTGATAAAAAGAAGGGTTAATAAATTCTAAAGATAGAGTAGACAAAGAGGGAGGAGATAAAGATTTACCGTGAGTCTTAACCTTCCAACCAAACCTGTTTGAAAGGTACTTCCAAGATCTTACTTCCATCGGAGCAATTTTCAATAATTTTTCTACCCAACCACGGAAATTGGAAATCTCTTCAACAGTTCCCATGGTTGCTGAAAAAGAAAAGTAAAACACTTACGGGAAGAACAAACTCTTATAAAAAATTGTAAAGAAAACTTACGTGCAAAGTTCCACTTCTCAGGGAATGGAATATTTTCTTCACCTACTAATCATTTTGTAGGAGCAGCAACAAATCGGGCGTACCAGCCACGATATTTATCGTCCTCGGGGCTAACTAAAACCCTCTTACTCCTCGCCACCAGAGTGAAAATTCCATGACGGAATAATTTAGGAGAATAAAGGTGGATTAAATGGTAGAAGGTGAAAGGCAACTGAGCCAAATTAGCCAAATACCGTAAGCATGCAACAGACCTCTACACAATAGGTCCAATTCGTCCTAAACACACATTAAAGAAGCGGCAGAATTCAAAAATGACTGGATCAATAGGAGGTCTAAAGTCTAATGTAAAGGGGTACGTGCACACAAAATAAAAGCCAGCTTTGAAAGAAGTAATTCTTTGATTAGCATTAGGGATAAGAATTGGGAAATCAAACATCCAATGGCAATCTCTACGAACAACAGAGATCAAACCTTCAGTAATCTGTGAAGGATATACATCGGCACGATCTTGAGAAGACATAGAGGAGACCTGATTTCTAATCTTTTCCCTATCAGTATACAAAGAAAGCTCAGCAGGGATAATCTTGTCTACTCTAGGCTCACAAATCGGTTCACTGGAATCCCTACTTCTAGCAGAAGACCTATGAGAAACAGAAGCCCTAGTTCTAGAAGACGATGGAGGAGTAGAACTAGGTTGAGATGAAGAACCTCGAACGGAGACTGACCCTAAACTACGCAGTCTTCCATCTCTCCTGCTTCTGGTAGGAGTGGGGGGGGGGAGTTCATCTACAATAAGGACCTTTTGACGATCAGGGTTTGAAGAAGACATAGCTATACGAAAGTGAAGAAAAGGTTGAATGGCAAAGTAAGAAAAGGTTGAATGGCAAAGTATGAGAAACTTTTTCGGGAAAGAAAAGACAAAGAGTATATTTATACTCAGAAGAAACCGTCAAACAAAAACGGTAATGATGGAAACGTCATTATGAAAACTATCACTTCGTGGTTGATGCAGCCGTAAAAAAGCCCTAAAAGACGCTCAGGAACTGCATAACCAATCAAAAGCCACCACGTGTCACATGCAATAAATGGAAGTGACATACGAAGCATCAGTTCTGAAAATTGTATAATGATATGTAGGAATGGCGGCAAATATTCCCGCTTTAATGAGATCCACTTCTCAAATATTCAATTGCTGAATAAATGGCAAGTGGGGGGACTATTTGTATTGGGAAAAATCGAGTCAGCATTTTGAATTAATTATGTGGCTGACAAGTCAAGACACGTGGATTAATAGAAGTGTGACAGTTGTCAAAGGGTACACAAAGAGACGCGGGTCTTAATAGGTACGGGCAAAGGTACCAGAAAATAAAAAAGAACGGTTACTCGGATCTCTTGAAGAGACACCGTTGGAATGAACCCAGACAGCAAAAAGTACAGATGCGTAATATCTGCAATTAATGATAGGGAACCTTAGGGAATATTCACGAAACAGTTACGATTGTCAATCATAACGTCTTATTAATGTCATTAATTGCTCATAATGACTCTATTATGAGAGGAAAGAAACGTAGTACTTAGAAATAACTATAAAAGGGAGAGAAATAACATTTGTATGGGGACATTGACGATAATTGGAATAAACTCATTTACATTGCTTTATATTGCTTACTCGGCTACTTCTGAGTTTAATTTTCCTTTCTTGTTACATATTTATTTCCTTATTTGATTATCGGTAACTTAAGTTCTTCTAAAATTACGCTTTGACCGAAATTCTTATTTTCTGGTTAAACAAAAACCTCTTATATTATATTCTATTTTTCCTTGAAAAATAACTAAAGATCATCATCTTCATGATCCATGAGAATCCAAGATCCATCTTGCTGTTGAACCATCCCTTTGTTCTTCTCAACCCACCACGATGCTGGTACACCATATTCATCTTTTAACGCGTCTAAATACTTGTTAACTACAGAAATATCGTGTTGCACTTCTAGCTTAAACCCTCCTTTTGATCCTTGCGTTCCAGCAACTCCATGCAAGTAACAGTCCATATTATGCCAACTGCTCTCATCTCCAGGACTTCTTAGATATGTCGACTTCGTAGTATCAATGTCTAATTGAACACCAACATCAGAGTAACCAAGCAATGGGTAATTTGGAACTATATCTGGCGCATTTCGGACTCTTAGAGCTCGAAGATTTACAAGTTTGGAGAAAGTTTTCTTCAAATTTTCATCTCCCACTCTAGGACTTGCAAATAGAAATGCAGTTACTGGAAAGCCCTTGTTAAATCCGTTGAAAACAATATCCACTGCATTTAATGTCGCAACTGCTGCCCCCATGCTATGTCCTGTTACTGTTATGGTAATTTCCTCATTCTTGTATTGCTCCACCAATCTTTGAACTTCACCAAGAACCTAAAAGGAGAATCCAAAGATTATTAATACAGTACTTCCTCTGCTCTCGTTTATATTAACCTATTTCCTTTTTGGTTCGTTAAAATAAATGATCCCTTTTTAAATTTGAAATTAATTTAATATAAACTTTCATTTTTACCCTCAATGAGAAGTTTTTATAGACATACAAATACTCTCGCATGTTTAACACCACAAGTTTCAAAAGAATTATGTATAGACATACAAATGTTATTGCTTGTTTAGGACTATAAGTTTAAAAATCTTTGTTTTTTTTTTCTAAAACTTTATGTCCAGTCAAATAAGTTCGCATAAATTAGAGCGGGAGTGTTTTTTGTTTTACATGATTAATACTTAGAAACTAAATTATTAGCCCTTTAAGCAAGAAAAAAAAAAGTCTCATTTCTTGTAAAAGGAAGATGGATTTACCTGGTCTCTTGCACTGGCCTTACTGAATGGTGATCGTGAATCATTAGAAGTATAAACGGAATACCAACCGTGATGAACTTTGGGAATAGATTTTTGACCAAAGATTTCAGGGGCAGAGACTTGAATAAAGTCAAAATCATTAAACCATTCCATAGTCTGAACACTTCCTCTCCAAGCAATTACTATATCCCTTCTTCCTAAAGCAACTTTCCCCTCATCAGTAGCAACAGCAACAAAACCAACCCAATTTGACTCCTTGCTCCAAGCTTCCCTTGACAAAGATTTTATGATCAATGCTTCTGGAACTTGGACAGATGATGTCGCGTAAATATATTTGGTCACCTCATATTTGAATGGATTGGACATTTCAATCCCAGCTCGAGATAAGAGGTTCTTTTTTGAGTATCTGCAACTTCCTGCATACTTTGATAGTTTGTTGGTGTTAAAGACATCTCGAGTTGCTTGTGCCATTTCTCCATAGTGAATAATGTATCGACGAAGATCATTGTCTAATGGATTTAATAAGCCTTCCCAACTGTTATTCCCACTAAGAAACCTCCATCTTTCTGCTATATTGCCCTTATATGGGTCTGCACTATGTATCTTCTCTAAATTGAAAAGAAGAAAAATAAAACCAAAGGAAAATACAGGAATTTGCATCTTCTCTATATTGGATTTTTGTTGCTCTGGAACAGTTGAGTATGTTCCTCCTGTGGTGTGTCCGTTAGTTATTCTTCTATTTAAATACCCTATCCTATAGGTTGGGAAACTTGTGGTTTAACTCCCTTTTGCTTTTATGAATTTTACAAAAATGAGAAATTAGATAGTACTCTTTTTGGGCCATACTCGAGAATACGGCCGGCCATACCTTTGAAAGTTTTGATTTTTATCCGTTTCCAAAAAAACATGTAGAAATATTTAAATTTGATTGATTCATTTTTTAGGCATTATGGCAGATCTAACACTTGAATATTTAAATCGCACATGATGGAACCAAACATTATAAATGTTGTCCAGGTTTCATATCACATTATGTATAAGGAATATTTTATATTATTAATTTGATTTAACTTGGTGTAGCAGATTAAATTCTCAAAATTAAACTCGTCTAAATCACTGATATTCAAAAGTTATTGGTGGAAAGTACAGCTTTAGAGCCTTTTGAACTTGACATCTATTCTTAGTTTCCTGTTTTCCAATTTTATAGGCGA